AGGCGGGTGGATCACGAGGTCAAGAGATCAAGACCATCCTGGTCAACATGGTGAAACCCGTCTCTACTAAAAATACAAAAAATTAGCTGGGCATGGTGGTGCATGCCTGTAATCCCAGCTACTCAGGAGGCTGAGGCAGGAGAATTGTCTAAACCCAGGAGGCGGAGGTTACGGTGAGCCAAGATCGCGCCATTGCACTCCAGCCTGGGTAACATGAGAGAAACTCCGACTCTAAAAAAAAAAAAGAACAGGCCGGGTGCAGTGGCTCACGCCTGTAATCCCAGCACTTTGGGAGGCCAAGTCGGGAGGATCACGAGGTCTGGAATTCGAGACCAGCGTGGGCAACATGGTGAACCCTCGTCTCTACTAAAGATACAAGAGAGAAAAAAAATAGCCTGGTGTGGTGGTGGCGTGCCTGTAGTCCCAGCTACTCGTGAGGCCGAGGCAGGAGAATCGCTTGAGCCCGGAAGGCAGAGGTTGCAGTGAGCCGAGATCAGTCCACTACACCCCAACCTGGGTGACAAAGCGAAACTGTCTCAAAAAAATAGTCTCTGGCTATTCCAGATGCAGGGAGATTAGAGAGGAGTCTGCTACAACAATCCAGCAAGAGAGGCTGAGGGGTTGTCAGTGGGAGGGGGAAGGAGGGTGGGTCGACAAAGGAACTATTATTGAGAAAATAGAATTGACAGGATGTGGTGACTGGAAGTAAGACAGTAGGGGGAGGGAAGAGTCAAGGATGCATCTCCCAGTCTGGGCCTGGCCATTCTGGGAGTGCAGAAAGACCGGAAGAAGTATGGCAGGGACAAGTGAAAGTTTCAGCAGCCACGAGAAATCTGAGTCAAGAAGTGGGAACCAGATTCAGGAGCCCTCATCACGCAGGAAATAGCTGAGTCCATGGAACATGTGTAGCATGAGGAAAGAAAACCTTACCAGAGGAAACCCAGGATATACAGGGAGAACCAAAAAAGAGACTAGAGATGGGCGTTGTGGCTCACACCTGTAATCCCAACGCTTTGAGAGGCTGAGGCAGGTGGATCACCTGAGGTCAGGAGTTCCAGACTAGCCTGTCCAACATGGTGAAACCCCGAC